CACATCGCCCCTGCCAGTCGTACTGTATTCACACATCGCCCCTGCCAGTCGTACTGTATTCACACATCGCCCCTGCCAGTCGTACTGTATTCCCTGCCAGTCGTACTGTATTCACACATCTCCCCTGCCAGTCGTACTGTATTCACACATCGCCCCTGCCAGTCGTACTGTATTCACACATCGCCCCTGCCAGTCGTACTGTATTCAAACATCTCCCCTGCCAGTCGTACTGTATTCACACATCTCCCCTGCCAGTGATCTTGTCAACTTTTACAATTTTCTTTGTGTAATTTAATGTATTTATTAATTTTACTTGTGGGTTTTTGTTCATTCGGGAAATTGTCACCTGAGCAACTTAGACCGCGGAGATAATTTGATGCATTGTTCTAGTGTGTGGTCACTGGTGACCTTATAGAGCCCGGAGGGGTTAACTGTCAGGATGAAAGGAATTTGCTATTGTTTGAGTGTAGCAAGTTTGAGATAGAGTAAACTGGATATAGTTAATATTAGTACAGTTAGCCCTCACTTTACGCGGTTAATGTAACCTGCAGGGTCCCGCGTAAAGTGAGAAACGCGTAAAGTGAATAACATAACATATGGGATTAATTGAAATAGAGTCCGGGCCGATCCCCAAACTCCACTTTTTGACGACACACAACTATGTTGTAGTAAAAATTTTATCTTAACTTTATGATGGTATGAAAAAACAAGTAATATAGAAGAGGTTAGGTTAGGAAAAATAAAGGTTAACATAGGAAAAATAAAGGTTAGGTTAGAAAAACTAAAAGTTATGTGGAACACTTACGTTAGTAGAAGAGATGGGTCGGCATACGGGGATGGAGGCTGGTTCCGAGGCAGAGGGCAGATTACTGGCCCTCAGGTGAATCACCATTACTAGGTGAATCACCATCACTGTCACTTACAGTTGTCAGGGCTTCCCTGACAAATCCCTCAAAGTCATCTTCACTGTCACTATCACTGGCTTGGGCTGGCTGTGGTGGGTTGCGGGCGAAGAACTCGGTTATGCTTTTTTGACGGCTGGTGTTTATGTTGTCTTGATACACCGTGATGTACGGCTCCATAGCCTGCACCAGCCGGGTATGGAAGACTTCATAGCGGTCATCGTCATTGTCGCGGGAAAGGAAGGACTTCATTTTCTCTGCACACTCCATGGCACCCTTAATATCACTATGAGTTAAACTGTGTTCTTCGGAGAATGACGCACCTTCTTCCTCCTCTTCACTGACGTGATCTTCTTCCAACATCTCGTCGGCAGTCACTTCAGGATCTCTGATCACCTCCAGGATGTCGTCGTTGGTGGTCTCGGAGAAGCCTGGAACTGTAACAGTCTGCGCAGCTTCTCTGGCAAGGTCCACTGCTACTGCAACATTCTGAACCTCACCAGTCACAGATTGACTCCTCCTCTCACCTGGTATTCCATGCAACACATGTCTCCATGCGTGACGAATTGTAGCAATAGACAGCTGATCCCATGACTCCACCAAGAAGTCCACAGCTTTCTTGATGTTAAATACTCTCCAGAATTGTTTGAACAGTATTTTTTGCTGTGCCAACTGTTGATCCTTCTTCGCTCTTGCTATCGGTGGTGGTGTCACTCAGGTTACGCAACTCTTCCCTGGTGTTGGTGTAGTCGTTCAGGAGTTTGAATTTTTTTGTTGAGAATGCAGCTTTTACATTACAGATTAACTCTTGGTCCATGGGCTGTAATATAGACGTAGTGTTGGGAGGAAGGAAGACCACTTTTACGTTGGGGTGACGATCTAACAGTAGGGGCGACTGTCCTGGTGCGTTGTCCAGCAGCAACAAAATATTGAATGGCACATTCTGTCGCTCACAGAATTTCTTTACATCGGGAACAAAACAGTCATCAAACCAGGAGAGGGACAGTGTAGAGAACATCCACGCCTTACGTGCGGTCAGCCAGTGGACATTTAGCTTGGTCATGTCCATGGTTTTGGAGGCGTGCGGCTTGCGTGCTGTGTGGATCACCGATAACTTGAGCTTACAGGTACCGGAGGCATTGGTGGTAAACAGGACGGTGATGCGTTCCTTCTGCATCTTCCGGCCCCGAATCCTGCTGGCATTCTTTACAACGAAGGACTTGGAAGGTAGCTTTTTCCAGAAAAGACCAGATTCGTCCATGTTAAACACCTGGTCGTCACTGTACTGTCCTTCCTCCATAATCTCACGTAAAAACGGAGGAAATTCCCTAGCCGCAGCACGGTCAGCACTCGCTTCTTCACCACCAATGTTCATATTGGTGATCTTGTTCCGGATCTTAAACCTCTGTAACCACCCAGAGGAAGCATTAAAGGGTTTGGGCTCTGTAATTCCCATCTTTCGTGCCACTGCCATGTACATTTCACATGCATAGTCCTTAACAGAGCGCGTGTCGACCGCCATGTTCCGTCGCGCCTGACGCACCAAGTACCTCACAAGTAATTTTTCTGTCTTGAGAAGCACCTGGTTGTGAAAATACTTGATCATAGAAGCACCTGTAGACTTTGTGATCTTCATGTGCTCCTTTATCTTGGCTGCATCCTTCTTTATTGTACGAATCGTAGATTCATTCACACCATGCTGGCGCGCCAAATCAACCTGCCTTGTTCCTTTCTCCAACTCTTGGATGATGGTATGGTATACTTCACCTCGTAGCTTAAGGAACGTCGTGTCTTCTTTGGCTTAGTGCCGCTGGGTCCAGGTAAGGAAAGGTTTCTCTCTGGGGGTGGTGGTCCGGCGGAAGCCATTTTACTGAACAATGGATGCACAATTACACGGTGTGGCCTTGAGGGATGAAACTGCCGCGGCTAGGTCAAGCGTCGTCTTTCCTCCCTCCCTCCCTCCCCCCCCCCGGGTGGACACGTCATAATACTTTAAGCCAATTACAGCTAGCAGCAGAGGGGGGTAGGGATGCATGGCCAATCACAGTCGGATACGCCATATGACGTCGGTGATAACGCAACAAAGACACACACTGCGCAACCTTACCGCGTGGCTTGCCCAAGCGGAGGGAGGAGGAGGGAGGAGGAGGGAGAGGCAGGCAGGCGGACGGGTGGCGGGTGGGGCGAATCTAAAAATAGTGTCGCGCCGGACACTCTCCGCGTAATGGGGTTCACGTACCGCGTAATGTGAGCACGTTAGGTTCTGGCAAGGCACCGCATAAACGTGGAAACGCGGAATGTGGGACCGCGTAAAGAGAGGGTTAACTGTACTCTAAGGATTGTTATATTTGTGACACTAATAAGTTTGAGATTCTTAGGGTTCGGTAGCTTTGAAAAGAAATCGTAATATAATGTTTTAATGTTTAACAAAGATCTTGCCCTAAACAGAACTCTTGTATTTCTTTTATATTCGTTTGGATTTCTTGCGAGGTAGTTCCAAACAATTTGTTATTGTTATTTTAATCGCCCCGTAAGGAGATTAACCTGCCACGCAACTCGATCCAGTTTATTTCAGTCAAACCTGTCAATTACAAATAGTCGATTTACAGGAGGGAACTGAAGGTTCAAGTGTCATATCATGTTACCACAAGCAGTAATGAGAAGGATGACACATAAACAAACACTATGTTAGGCTGTAAGTCATGTCATGTTTATTGGGTGTGCCTGCCAGTATACAGTGTGTAAAGTGTTGAGATGGTTGAAGATGAGAGACCTAGAGGAGGTGAGGTGTTGGGTGGTAGTAAGGGAGCTTGTTTGTGTATAATCACCTGACTCAGCAGCCCTCACCCATCGAGAGAGGGTTGGTGAGGCGGCTGGTGTATCGGCACTGTTGCTATTCAGACCACAGAGGCAACACCTAACCTGGTTTCTCTTGAGACTTTTAACACGTAAGTTTAACTGGTACTTATTGTGTACACAGGTAGACTGTGTCCATTGCTTCGTTTACAATTTGTGAGAAGCTCAGGACAGACAACATGGAGATGACAAATAGTTGAATTGGTTTATTATTTGTTGGAATAAATATTAGTTTCTTTGTTCATTACACTGATATATTTTCTTCATGAACACTTTCCAAGGATTCCCACATTCATTCCCCATGTGGGTCTATCATGCCAATACTTTTCTTTTGTATTACTCAAGAGCTTGGTATTATTGTACTGCTGGCAGCTATTTTTTATCCAAACCGAAACTGCAGATTTCGGTGGGCGATATTTATCTGTTCCTATGCATCTAAACTAGGTATTTTACAGATCAATTGAGAAAAAAAATATAGTTCTATCTCGAAAATGACATATATCCACCTCTGAAATTCCAATTTACTTATTCATGCATGTTATAGGCCCAACTGCCGCCATGCTTGAACTATTGTTGTTCAAGTAGTTGCTATAATGATCGCATACTTTCTCAATGTTTGGTAATTAATCTTTAAGTTGCACTTCTAAAAATAAGATCAGCTAGGCACATAACAAGATTCGTAATTCTAGTTCATCAATTAAAACAATTATAAAACTGTTAGCCCAAGCGGCTAATAGGCCGATCAGTGGCTGCATAATAAAGGTAAAGTATTACCATGATATAATTTTTGTTTATTGCAATAAATGAGTACAGTATCTACAGTATATCTCATTAAGAATTTGTCATTTATGAGCACTGCCGTGTGCTGCCACACATCACCAGGAGGCATATGTAGGCCGATATAAGTTTGAAGAATTTTGAAAATTTTCCCAGTAAGTAAGAAAATATATTTCATTAACTGCCACCATCGGGGAGGGGGAGATCTCCAAATTTCCCATCAACATGTAGGTGGTATATTAGTATCTTCGCAAGTGCGATTAGGCACATACATTTTATCAAGGCCTGGTCATGTGAAAAGAGACCCAGTTTTTATCGGTAAATTGGATATAAAAGCTCACGATCGTTTGGAAACAGTCTATCTTTTTTCTCTTTTTTAACCTTTTGTGATATAAGTGCCACCAAAATTCCTATGAATGTTTACTTTCTTTAAGATTGATAATGTTTTTTGTTTTTAATTTTCAGTGTCGAACTACTGTACGAAAAATCCAACAAACCTGGGAAACGAATAACGTCTAAGATATTTGATCGTTATTGTCCGAAACATAACTGGATACATATGTCAAGATTTTATGTTATTTGATACTACTGGATAAGTTTAGCACACGAAGTACAAAAAAAAGTTTACCGTGCTGCCAGGCAACCCAGTGTATACCATACGGCCGGTAGCGTGTAGCAGGCAAGTAGGAGTAGGATGCTGCCACAGGTACGACACATGATGAACGGGATGCGGGGGCGTGGCGGCTCGTGTCTCGCCTCTACTGTTATAGCTCCGAGGGTTACATTATCGTCCTGCTGCGTTACGTTTAAGGTGAGTAATGTTATTCCTTTTTACTATTTATAGATATCCTGATTAACTTGGACATAAACACACCAGAGTCATTCAGTCAAAGCCAGACAAGCCTCGGGCAACAAAACCAAGCAAATATACCCAGCAATAACTAACAGCCGACAATATGAAGACAAAACCAGGTAGATAGCTTCATTAAAAACCAAAAAAATCGGACAGAACCACAAATAACAACACCATTGATTATAACAAAACGAGGTAAATATTCGTTTAATGGCTGTGGCTCCATGTTTGAGAGTATCTTAACCTAACTTCACCTATCTTAACCTAACTTCACCTATCTTAACCAAACTTCACCTATCTTAACCTAACTTCACCTATCTTAATCTAACTTCACCTATCTTAATCTAACTTCACCTATCTTAATCTAACTTCACCTATCTTAACCTAACTTCACCTATCTTAACCTAACTTCACCTATCTTAACCAAACTTCACCTATCTTAACCAAACTTCACCTATCTTAACCTAACTTCACCTATCTTAACCTAACTTCACCTATCTTAACCTAACTTCACCTATCTTAACTTCACCTATCTTACCAAACTTCACCTATCTTAACCTAACTTCACCTATCTTAACCTAACTTCACCTATCTTAACCTAACTTCACCTATCTTAACCTAACTTCACCTATCTTAACCTAACTTCACCTATCTTAACTAACTTCACCTATCTTAACCCTAACTTCACCTATCTTAACCTAACTAACCTATCTTAACCCTAACTTCACCTATCTTAACCTAACTTCACCTATCTTAACCAACTTCACCTATCTTAACCTAACTACCTATCTTAACCTAACTTCACCTATCTTAACCTAACTTCACCTATCTTCCTAACTTCACCTATCTTAACCTAACTTCACCTATCTTAACCTAACTTCACCTATCTTAACCTAACTTCACCTATCTTAACCTAACTTCACCTATCTTAACCTAACTTCACCTATCTTAACCTAACTTCACCTATCTTAACCTAACTTCACCTATCTTAACCTAACTTCACCTATCTTAACCTAACTTCACCTATCTTAACCTAACTTCACCTATCTTATCCTAACTTCACCTATCTTAAACTAACTTCACCTATCTTAAACTAACTTCACCTATCTTAACCTAACTTCACCTATCTTAACCTAACTTCACCTATCTTAACCTAACTTCACCTATCTTAACCTAACTTCACCTATCTTAACCTAACTTCACCTATCTTAACCTAACTTCACCTATCTTAACCTAACTTCACCTATCTTAACCTAACTTCACCTATCTTAACCCTAACTTCACCTATCTACCTAACTTCACCTATCTTAACCTATTACCTATCTTAACCTAACTTCACCTATCTTAACCTAACTTCACTATCTTAACCTAACTTCACCTATCTTAACCTAACTTCACCTATCTTAACCTAACTTCACCTATCTTAACCTAACTTCACCTATCTTAACCTAACTTCACCTATCTTAACTACTTCACCTATCTTAACCTAACTTCACCTATCTTAACCTAACTTCACCTATCTTAACCTAACTACCCTATCTTAACCTAACTACCTATCTTCCTTCTTCCTATCTTAACCTACTTCACCTACTTCTTCACCTATCTTAACCTAACTACCTATCTTCTACTTCACCTATCTTAACCTTCACCTATCTTAACTAACTTCACCTATCTTAACCTAACTTCACCTATCTTAACTAACTTCACCTATCTTAACCTAACTTCACCTATCTTAACCACTTCACCTATCTTAACCTAACTTCACCTATCTTATAACTTCACCTATCTTAACCTAACTTCCTATCTTAACCTTCTTCACCTATCTTAACCTACTTCACCTATCTTAAACTTCTTACTTTAACCCTAACTTCACCTATCTTAACCTAACTACCTATCTTCTACTTCACCTATCTTAACCTAACTTCACCTATCTTAACTTCTTTACTATCTTAACCTAACTATCTTAACCTAACTACCTATCAACCTAACCACCTATCTTAACCTAACTCACCTATCTTAACCTTCACCTATCTTAACCTAACTTCACCTATCTTAACCTAACTTCACCTATCTTAACCTAACTTCACCTATGCCTAACTACCTATCTTAACCTACTTCACCTATCTTAACCTAACTGCCTATCTTACCTACTCACCTATCTTCCACTCCCCCCTTCTCTTCATCTTACACCTCTATCTCTCTTCTCTCCTACTACCTCCACCCTATCTCTAACTACCTATCTTAACTTCTTCACTATCTTAACTCCTAACTTCACCTATCTTAACTTCTTCACCTATCTTAACCCTACTTCACCTATCTTAACCTAACTTCACCTATCTTAACCAAACCAAACCTAAGCTACCTGGAATAACCAAATACAAAATTCTTTCCACAGCCATTAAACAAATATTAACCCAAAACACGACAGACATCAACAGTAGAACCATCAGGACGACAACTAAATCAGACAAGAGAACATAACAGGGTGTGCCCATTTCGTCACCAACCCGCTTCGTTACCATTTTTTATCAGTTTCGTCACCGCTTTCATCCCCATCACCATTTCAAGGGCAATGCATTCCAGAAAATTCCTACATAATTAATACATCATTATATACACGAAAATAACTGTTGTTTGGGATAGAAAAATATCAAAACTTAGTTTACAAAATTGTATTACGAAATTATGCCTCGGCATAACAATACGATGGATCATGCAAGCATCTCACTAAGACAATTTATTAAACAAAATAAAAAAATGGAAACGTTATTCATGCAAGCATCTCACTTAAACAATTTATTGAAGACTAAAACGAAAAAAAAAATTGCTAATACGCCGGCAATCATCTTACTTAAACAATATGTGAAAGACTAAAATTAAAAAATAAAATAAAATACAACATTGTTATTACTCATGCTAGCTTGAAGGAAGATGCTGACAAATTTTTTCTTCAGAAATTAGAAGTGGTAATATTTTTTCTTCATATTCATCCCACAGCTTCCAGAGATGGACTTGTTTGTCATGATTTGCGTTTCTTGTGCACGACTTTAGCTTGTAATTGCAAATCAACATTGAGGGTTCTCTGTGAAGAACGGGGACAATATAAACGAGTGTCCTTTGCTGCTCAGTGGTTTATGCACTGGTGCCAAATCACCTTCATTTGTTCTGTATTTTATTTATTTACCAATGTTTTAATCGTTTTCTTTATCAAATAATTAATGTTCATGTTATAATAATAACAAAAGTTATCTAATCCTCTGTATACACGTGTAATTTCTATTCGTGTAAAATAATAACTTACGGATTTCATATTGGTGACGAAATGGGTTGGTGACGAACCAGACAGACCACAACAACGACCAGACAACAACAACAACAGTAACCAGACAACAACAACAGTAACCAGACAACAACAACAACAGTAACCAGACAACAACAACAATAGTAACCAGACAACAACAACAACAGTAACCAGACACAACAACAATAACCAGACAACAACAACAGTAACCAGACAACAACAACAACAGTAACCAGACAACATCAACAAAGTAACCAGACAAGAACAACAACAGTAACCGAACAACAACAACGGTAACCAGACAACAACAACAGTAACCAGACAACAACAACAACAGTAACCGACAACATCAACAAAGTAACCAGACAAAGAACAACAACAGTAACCAGACAACAACAACAGTAACCAGACAACAACAACGGTAACAGACAACAACAACAACAGTAACTAAACAACAACATCCAACAGCAGTAACCAGACAACAACATAACCAGTGACCAACAACAACATCAACAACAGTAACCAGACAACAACAACAACAGTAACCACAGACACAACAACAACAACAGTAACCAGACAGCAACAACAGTAACCAGATAAACTACAACAACAGTAACCAGACAGACCACAACAACAGTAACCAGACAACAACAACAGTAACCAGACAACAACAACAGTAACCAGACAACAACAACAGTAACCAGACAACAACAACAACAGTAACCAGACAACAACATCAACAACAGTAACCAGACAAGAACAACAACAGTAACTAGACAACAACAACAACAGTAACCAGACAACAACAAACAACAGTAACCAGACAGCAACAACAGTAACCAGATAGACTACAACAACAGTAACCAGACAGACCACAACAACAGAAGTCAGACAACAACAACAGTAACCAGACAACAACAACAGTAACCAGACAACAACAACAGTAACCAGACAAAAAAACAGTAACACAGACAACAACAACAACAGTAACCAGACAACAACATCAACAACAGTAACCAGACAACAACAACAACAGTAACCAGACAAAAACAACAACAGTAACCAGACAACAACAACAACAGTAACCAGACAACAACATCAACAACAGTAACCAGACAACAACAACAGTAACCAGACAACAACAACAACAGTAACCAGACAACAACAACAACAGTAACCAGACAACAACAACAGTAACTAGACAACAACAACAACAGTAACCAGACAACAACAACAACAACAGTAACCAGACAACAACAACAGTAACCAGACAACAACAACAAACAACAGTAACCAGACAAAACAACAACAACAGTAACCAGACAACAACAACAACAACAGTAACCAGACAACAACAAACAACAGTAACCAGACAACAACAACAACAGTAACCAGACAACATCAACAGTGTCCAGACAACAACAACAACAGTAACCAGACAACAAACAACAACAGTAACCAGACAACAACAACAACAGTAACCAGACAACAACAACAGTAACCAGACAACAACAACAACAGTAACCAGACAACAACAACAACAGTAACCAGACAACAACAACAACAGTAACCAGACAACAACAACAACAGAAAACCAGACAACAACAACAACAGTAACCAGACAGACCACAACAACAGTAACCAGACAACAACAACAACAGTAACCAGACAACAACAACAGTAACCAGACAACAACAACAGTAACCAGACAACAACATCAACAGTGTCCAAACAACAACAACAGTAACCAGACAACAACAACAACGAGTAACCAGACAACAACAACAGTAACCAGACAGACCACAACAACAGTAACCAGACAACAACAACAACAACAGAAGTAACCAGACAGACCACAACAACAGTAACCAGACAACAACAAACAACAGTAACCAGACAACAACAACAACAGTAACCAGACAACAACAACAACAGTAACCAGACAACAACAACAACAGTAACCAGACAGACCACAACAACAGTAACTAGACAACAACAACAACAGTAACCAGACAACAACAATGCAACTAGACAACAAACAACAACAGTAACCAGACAACAACAACAGAAAAGTCCAGACAACAACAACAACAGTAACCAGACAACAACAACAACAGTAACCAGACAACAACAACAACAGTAACCAGACAGACCACAAACAACAGTAACCAGACAGACCACAACAACAGTAACCAGACAACAACAGTAACCAGACAAACAACAACAGTAACCAGACAACAACAACAACAGTAACCAGACAACAACATCAACAGTAACCAGACAACAACAACAACAGTAACCAGACAACAACAACAGTAACCAGACAACAACATCAACAGTGTCCAGACAACTACAACAACAGTAACCAGACAACAACAACAACAGTAACCAGACAACAACATCAACAGTAACCAGACAGACCACAACAACAGTAACCAAACAACAACAGTAACCAGACAACAACATCAACAGTAACCAGACAACAACAACAACAGTGTCCAGACAACAAACAAACAGTAACAGACAGAACAACAACAGTATCCAGACAACAACAACAACAGTAAACCAGACAACAACAACAACAGTAACCAGACAACAACAACAACAGCAAACTAGACAACAACAAACAAACAACAGTAACCAGACAAATAAACATCAACAGTAACCAGACAGACCACAACAACAGTAACCAGGACAACAACAACAACAGTAACCAGACAACAACAACAACAGTAACCAGACAACAACAACAACAGTAACCAGACAACAACAACAACAGTAACCAGACAACAACAACAACAGTAACCAGACACAACAAACAACAGTAACCAGACAACAACAACAACAGTAACCAGACAAAAACAAAACAACAGAAACCAGACAACAACAACAACAGTAACCAGACAACATCAACAGTAACCAGACAACAACAACAACAGTAACCAGACAACAAACAACAGTAACCAGACAGACCACAACAACAGTAACCAGACAACAACAACAGTATCCAGACAACAACAACAACAACAGTATCCAGACAACAACAACAACAGTATCCAGACAACAACAACAGTAACCAGACAACAACAACAACAGTAACCAGACAACAACAACAGTAACCAGACAACAACAACAGTAACCAGACAACAACAACAGTAACCAGACAACAACAACAAAGAACCAGACACAACAACAGTAACCAGACAACAACAACAACAACAACAGTAACCAGACAACAACAGTAACCAGACAACAACAACAACAGTAACCAGACAACAACAACAGTATCCAGACAACAACAACAACAGTATCCAGACAACAACAACAGTAACCAGACAACAACAACAACAGTAACCAGACAACAACAACAACAGTAACCAGACAACAACAACAACAGTAACCAGACAACAACAACAGTAACCAGACAACAACAACAGTATCTAGACAACAGACAGACCACAACAACGAATCCAGGAAAAAAGGCAAAAGAAAATTTTTCATGTCACTCTGTATTAAATTTTAGAATTTTACAGCTGCAATCAAGAGTTTAGTCAATTCTAAGACACTTTCTTTTTCTGTGACGTTTCTCTCGCAAATGACCTAACCTAACCTCTTAATCGTGGTGTAGTGGATACTCTCCCCTACAACTGCCACTGCCGTTAGTTGCTGATCAGCCGATCCCGCGACGAAGTTTCTTTAACAAGCCTAGCTGTCTAGACTGCGCAGGGGTTGGCCAAGCAGCGACTCCTACTTCCGGCGGATGTGTATATAAGCTCACAGCCTCCCTGTGAAAGGAATTCTCCTGAGCGCTCTCAAACAGACAAGACCTCCCCTCAACAAGCTCCTCACCTCACAGCAACTCCCTAGCACTGCATTGTATATAATATATTTATATAGAAAACGCCATAGCTGAGTTTCCCTTCTCACTTCCATCCTAGTGCGATCCAACATCACGTTAACCCCACGGGCGTTCTGCTCCCCTGGTCCCCCTGGCATATACAGTATAAGCCATTTGTGAAGGAAACATCATATAAGAAAAGTAGAATTGTTTAAACTCTTGATCACAATCATTAAATTCTCAAAATTCAATACCAGATACCGTATGCAATAATAACCGGAAAAAAAGTTCCATAACCTAACTTATCCTAAACTAACCTAACAACCTAACCTATTTTATTACTATTATTGTTAATAGTATTTTTATTAAATGTGTGGGGGTTTTTCCTGAGACTTTTATCCATGCCAAAATTGTGACTTTTTTCCTGTGACTTTATATCCATTCATAACAACAGAACGAGATACTGCATAACAACAGAACCCGACAACAACATAATCTGGCAACAAGAACCTAATCAGTTAGATAACATTGGAACACAGATGACAACATTGAAAGATTACAATAGAACCAGACAACATGGACTTTTATTTTTGTAAATTAGTGAGGACAGTTTCAGTATATTTAATGTACAGTACAGTAGTAGTATATGCACTGTATATTTTGGTCGTATCAACACTCCCTTACTTTAGTTTAGGTATTTTAGTTTCGGTCATCCGAGGAATCTTAGGAATTTAGGTTAGGTTTGATATAGTTCCTGGGTTCTATGGTTAGGTTAGGTTAGATCAAAATCATTGAAAACACATCAAAAACCGTCAGAAAAACATAGGGATGACTAGAAATAAAATTTTACATTACTTTATCCTCTTCACTGTTTGAGCTGTCAGTCACATCTATTATGAACTATTGGTAAGTACTGTACTGCACTGGACAGGCATGGCTTCAGAATATAATATCTGAACCTCTGTCAGTGTTAGTTAAGTCTGGTCATGAATTGAGCTCACACTCGCAGCCATCATAACATTCTCTTACACCACTTACCTTCCTCCTTTTTTCTGTTCTCTTTCTGTCATTATGGTTATCATTACACAAGTGTCTTGGGCAGGTTGGAGCATCATCACCTCAGGGGCCCAGGTATCCTCCCTCCGCAGCGCTTTCGTTACTCCACATCCGAGACTTTCACTCACGAAAGTTCTCCCGTAACGTTGAGTTCTTCACTTCGAGTGATGTTCCACTCCCGCAAAAAACAATGAAGGTATGTATGTACTGTATTGTACAGCTTATCCTTTACAATACTTTTTTCTTGTCTCCTGACTCTTAATTTATTAGCTATTTGTAGATTTGATTTTATTCATTTTTTCCTAATCAAACCATTTGTTTCCCATAGATCTTTATTTTGATTATTATATATTATATGTAAGGTTCTGTTCCTAATATATACCTGGATCACTGGCACCCACGATGATTTACTTGCACACACATATATATATATATATATATATATATATATATATATATATATATATATATATATATATATATATATATATATATATATATATATATATATATATATATATATATATATATATATATATATATATATATATATATATATATATATATATATATATATATATATATATATATATATATATATATATTGTAAGGTGGACATGGCGATAAATTGTTTCACTGTCCGTGCTAATACAATATTAACTTTACTTTGGGTTAGGTAGGATAAAAGTTTTGGTGGGTTGGCCCGCAGAAAAATGCCGAAATCGTAATGCGGCCCAATGACTGAGGAAAGGTTGCCCATGCCTGCTCTAAGGTTTTAGGGATTTTAGCCTTAAAATTTATAGATTACTGTGAATTTTGTGATATCCAAAATTAAAAAAAAAAATCATATTTTATTAAAACTAACTACCCTGTACCTGTACCTACTCGTTGAGTTTCTCAGCTGAGGCAGCTTTATATTACTGACTTAAGAGTACAGTACTAGTACCTGTGTGTGGTAAATGAAGTTACCATAAATGAAATTGTTTTTTTCCAGGTTGCATCAGCCCTCAGCCAGCATGAACGTCCTCTAACACTGCTCTTCTGCTGGCTCATGGCCAGAGAACGGCACATTAAGAAGTATGCCCAACTGTATACCACCATGGGTTTTGATGTACTGAAGATCAGATTATCTCCGTTTGACCTAATACGACCTACCAAAGGATCACAGGTCAAAAATGCCATTCTTCAAGTTTACCATTGCACTGTACATTATAATTTTGAATGTTAGCATCAGCAGGTTGACTTCAGCAAATTCCTCTCTTCATATGTTTTTTTCCCCTTAATATATAAATGTTTTCAGCCTTCTATCCATTTCTCTTTCTTGTATTGCTTTGTCTAACTTTTATCTTCCTTCTCTTAGTTCCTGCTTCCTAATTATCACTTTCCTTTGATTGTTTGAAAAAGTATGTGATGAAGGCTTCTTAGATTACCTGACCAACATCATAATGTCTTTTAGCATTTGGTAGCCAAAAATTTTGTTTCATTTTGGACTTTGGGTTAACATATATGTGCATCCTACTAAATTCCCACGCATCCAAGGAGTCCATCTTAAAAATCTAGAATTATTGAAGCAAAAATATCAAAAGCATTGTATCCAAATTTCTATTCTTGCAGTTCATTATAGCTTACAATATCCCCCCTTATAGGTTCCTGGTCTTGTAGGAACAGTTGCTTTTGACTGATGGCTAACATTCCCCTCCCTTCTTATACCTACATAACAGGACAGTTGACAGCAGTTCATTGAAATGGCTAACAGTGTGCTTACATCTTAATGTGTGTTTATTGTACAAGTCACTCACTTTTGTTTTTACTAAGAACTGTACTCTCCTGCCCTTGTTTTGGCAGTAAAAAGCTGCCAATGCTGGTTTTAATAATTATCAATGAATTTTTTACTGGGTTGGACACTCAGACTCCAGCATTGAAACATCTCTGAGCTAAATTTCTACATAAGCAAGTATGCCATCATCTCAGTTGTGCACCACGTATTGGTATTGATGTTGAAACAGTTTATTTAGCCAGAAAAATAGTGTCGATAAGAAAGATGCTCATATTGAATTACTATACCTACAGTCTCGTTCAAGATTCTTTGAACACTGTTGGAGAGAGCTGGCAACTCAAGGCCATTTGTTTACTATAGTACGTTGTAAAAATAATGAATGAATGTAAAAGTGATCGGTGATTGGTTACTTAGTTCCCCGTTGCTTAATTAATGGTTGGGTTTTGTTGTTTCGTATTATATTATACTTTTCTGCAGGTAGATACTGTTAATTTTATTTTAAAATGAATAGAGCAATGGGCCAACCTATATGAATTCGTGTTTAGACAATTAATCATGGGTAAATATCGGTAAGAATGTTAAAGAACGTCATGCATCAGGCATAGCTGTGTGCAGGTTGTGTATGAGGGTGCTTGTTTATCATTAATTTATTCTAATGTCTTCAAATGTTTAATTCATTTCGGGTAATAAATCCAGTCGTATTTAACCGATGTTAAACAGACTCTTTCTAAAGACGCTCATTTCATGCAACACAAACTGCTGTTTTAATTTGCTGTGGGATTAAGCAGAATCATCGGTTCACTGATACCTGTAGTGTGTGTGTGTGCGTGTGTGTGTGTGCTTGTGTGTGTACATGTGGAGTTCGTGTGTGAGCAAGTGGAGTGTGTGTGTGTGTGTGTGTGTGTGTGTGTGTGTGTGTGTGTGTGTGTGTGTGTGTGTGTGTGTGCGTGTGTGTGTGTGTGTGTGTGTGCGCGCGCGTGCGTGCGTGCGTGCGTGCGTGTATGTGGAGTGTGTGTGTTTGTACATGTGGAGTGTACACATGTGTACCTTAGCCTGTGTGTGTGTCAATGCTTGTCTGTAAAAACAGTTGCATAAATGAAACAGTATTATGAGCTTTATTTAATAAAATTATTTATTTTACATTCACCTGTGAGGCATTGGAAATAGAAATCTATATACAGTATTATGTTTTATTTATTCATCTATTTATTTATGTCATGAAATGAATACTACTGTACACAGTTTTTATGAAATGAAAGACTTTCCAATGTGATCCTGTGATGAACCAGTTTAAAAACAAGGTTTTTTTTGCAGGTTATCAGTCAATAATATCGAAAGAAATGTAATTTGAAATATATAATAAGCTAAGTTTACTCAGATGACAATCGTAATGACAGTTGAAAGGTCTACAGCGATACAATGCATATGCTACCGCATTAGCTACACCTTCAGTACCAGATTTCAGTAATTAATACAGTGATCCCTCGGTTAACGAGCGCCTTGGTTAACGAGATTTCGGTTAACGAGATTTCGGTTAACGATTTACCTTCCATAAGATTCTTAACTTCGGTTAACGAGCAATCCCTCGATTAACGAGTTTTTTACGAGCCGACTTCAACATGTTTTCGCTTGCATTTGGCGGTCCACCAGCTGTAGTATTAGTCCGCCAATACAGTAATTGGTTTTAGGCCTTAAATTCCCTACTATTTTAGTAAATATCAAGAAGTTTATATTATTCAATAATTTTCAATGTTTAATATTAACTTTTTAGTCATTTTAACAATTATTGAACATAATTGAAGGTAAAGAAACTAGTTTCTGGCGTGCCATCCAGCCTGTTAACACACCAGACAGGCGTTAGTCTCTCTCTGTTTTCAGTGGAGGTAACATTTTGCTTGAGACTCTCTTCAACTAAATGCTTTTTTTCTGTGTTTCCAAGCAAATTATTGGTCATTTTGAAATTTATTTTACATATTGACAATATATAATGCAGTGCAGTGTTGATTTAGAGAAAATAATCTTGAATTACACCAAGAGAACTAAAATTTTATGGGTGAAATGGTGCCATGGGGTGACTTCTCTTCCACCCCAAAGCCTTCTCTTCTCCCTTCTCCTCCACCCCCATTCTAATTCCCATCATCATCATCCAGGAGCCTTCTACATACACACCTCAAAGTAAGTGTACTTTTCTACCTTTTTTGTTGAATTTAGGCAATTTTCGGTGAGCTGGAACCAATTACCCAAAAACCCATTGAAACAATGGTTTCGGTTAACGAGTTTTTCGGTTAACGAGCAACCTGCTGGAACGGATTGTGCTCGTTAACCGAGGGACCACTGTACATATTATATTTTTTTTTATTAATAAAAACGGCAAGGGACCCCGTTGAAATCGACTTCTTCACGAGTGCGTGCGTATGTATATGGGTCTATGCATGCAAGTGTGCGAGAGTGTTTGACCATTATTGTAAGTTATGAAATAATTGTGAGGTAATGTTGAAACATAGTTTGATATTTTGGCAAGGATTTCTTCCCATTTCTTATAAATAAATGAAGAGAAAAATATATACAAATACAATTACAGTAAAATCCCGATTAACTGACTTTTTGATTAACCGTCAATCCCGAACTCCTAATTTTTTTTTTTTTTTTTACGGGGATTAGCCCACCCGGGCACAGGTCACTGACCCACATCGGGGCCTGGGGGGTGATAATGTAATAATATTAATAATGATAATGATAATAATAGTAATGAAGAACCATAAATAAATGCAAAAATGCAAAAAAAAATCAAGAGTGTGAAACAATATATGTATGTTGTGTTGTCAATAGTAAGAGAAGCAATTGAGACCCTGCTATTGTGTGTAAATGAGGTAGAAAGTCAGATTAGCAACCTGGGACTTGGTCACAATTTTTGTGATGACATACTGTATGTTCTTTGACTTTTCCATTTTTTATTCACGGTTTCTGTGCTGGTTCATATTTATTTACTAAAGTGGTTAATGTTTTAAAGCAAATTCTATTGAAATATGAATGGCAAATGAACAAAAATGAATAGAGGGAATTAAATGAGGTAGGTTAAGGAAAGGTACTTTGAAAATGTATGTTTTGTTTCCGTAGACTTTATGTTTTATTAACCGACCTTTTGGATTATCCGTCGGCCCCTTCCCCCCATATGTGGTCGGTTAATCGAGGTTTTACTGTATTGCAGTAAACTTTTTTCAAGAATATATAAATACTGTATATTGTGAACGGCAATTTATTAAGTATGAGATTATGAGATTTAAATATGAAAGATCAATTTCCTCGCCACAAGTGTCTTGAAGAGCCGGATCGGACAGCTGTGATCGGACCATTACACACTGTATGAATTGTGTCATAATACAGTTGTTTCTCTGTCTCCGTCTTCCTCTCTGATTTATTCCGTGGTATATATGGTAATTATTTCACAAGCAATATATTTAACATAATAATTATAAGTGCCTGTGTTATGATTTGTTTGACTTAAATCATCCTGAATACATACTGCATAAGTGAGGATATTAGGAGAGGATTGTTTTCTCTACTTTTATGATACAATTTGACATAGTTCATGAAAATTTTATTTATTTCAGTTAACATAGAAAAAATGAATATCGATGTGCATTCAGTATGTAACGTTGATTACATAGAAAAATTATTTCTGACACGTTAATATTTAGTCCAGCCACCTTCATTCTCGATTACTTGCTGCAGCCTGTTGCGAATGGAGGCGACATAATTGCGTATCAGTTGCCGTTTCCGCCTCAGCAACTCTCACTCATGGTGTGTATGCTCCTGTAGCTGCACCCTGGTTCTCTCTTCAGCTGACTCCCACACGTTCACAATATTGACCCAAACGTTCTCTATAGCAATGTTTTTCAAAAGTTTTTTACTGCGACCCACAGCCAGAACAACAATTTAAATTGCGACCCATTAAACCTAAGTGTAATGATATGAAATGAGCTTAGGTTAGATTACGGGGGAAAAACTACGATTACGAGTTTTCTGCGCAAAACGGATGACACGAGAGGTAAAGAAAGAATCGGGAAATGCTCTCCTTGCAGTCGCTTCCTAGACTGTGGAGTGTACATTACAATAACCAAGCCTAAATTATGGTGCATTTATTTTTATTTTCTTATTTATTTTCGCGACCCAATTTATTTATTTCGCGACCCACTGAAGGGTCGGGACCCATAGTTTGAAAATCCCTGCTCTATAGGGTTCATGTCACAACCTTTACTTGGCCAGTCTAAAACTTGCAAATTTCTTTGTAAATAATAATAATAATAATAATTAACGGTTTATTGAAAGAGCTTGGCAGCCAGAAGGCTGAAAATATACAGTTACATATTTGGGGAATGGGTTTCGAATTA